TTTCCTCCAATCAACCCCTCTCTTTATTGAGAGACAGCCACAGTGCCTAGAGGAGACCCAAAGAGCCCATAGATGGTGAAGTACCTCAAACCAAACAAGGCAACGATCCTCCTCCAAGGCCTCTTCGTCAGCTGCAAGGGTTGTTACCTTGCTCACAATAGCTGGAACGCAACCCATTTATGATGTTATTAAACTGGTAATGAGATGGGTTAAACAGGTCAGTTTGGGCCTGACCGGAATTAACCCATCTAATAAACGGGTCAAATCGGGTCGACCCGTTTATGACCCGAACCCATATAACTCAACCCGTATCCATTATTAATGGGTCAGGTCGGGCCGGTTAGTGGGTCGGGTCATGAATTGCCACCCCTACATTCAATTTGTATGTATACAATTTGAGTTCGCTTGGGTTAAGACAAACAAATTGTGCTGAGATTTTATTGGGTCCCTGGAACCAACTTAGACTCAAGACGAACCCAATCCAAGTGATTTTATCTGAATGATCCAGCCAGTTCTTGATGTCTTTTTGTACTTATTTCTGATCTTTAACTGTAGTTATCTTTTAGTATTTATTTTATGCTATACTTTGGGTTTTAGAATTGAGGGTTTTATCTTTATATTGATACATTAATCATAATTTTTTTATTTGGTTTCCTTTTTTGCATGAATAGGTGACTATCCTTTCAAAGTTTAACTTGGAGCATCTCAACCAAATCAAACAACCTGAACTTAAATCTATCGAGCCGGAATTAATCCCTTTAGATTGGACTTCAGAAAAATGCTAGTTTCATTTATATTAAAAATGAAAGAGTTCATGTGCATAGCATCTGTAGTTTCATGATCTTTGGTTTCACGAGGTTTGATGATTGTTTGGAAACAGTTGGAATCTCATAAAAACCACTCGTAGAGTTTGCCAAATACCAGTTTTGAAATTTATATTGTCACGAAACTTAGGTTTGGTTAACTCTAATTTGACACCTGAAATGAGTCCCAATTTATTATTTATAGTTTAGCTTTGTATACCTTATGAAAACCAAAATGGCTACTAAATGAGGCCTTAAATGTGGGCTTTGGTTCCTTTGGTTAGTTCCTAGCTCAAAGCGTGGGGTGGGTTGGTTGAAGTCAAGCTTTTTAGATCTTGGTTAGCAAAAGTTCGCTCTCAATCCGACTTGAACCTTCCAAATTTGCGCATTCCTAAATGTACATGTGTGCACACTCCCACCTGCACGCACAGAGATGGTAAAAATAAATATTTTATGTTTGTGGCTACTTTAATTGCAGTGCAATGTGCTATCATATAACGTAAAACGTAGACCCTAATTTTATCTAGCTGTCCCTAAGATGCACTTTTATGTAGCATAAGCATGTGTTTCCAATCTGAGCAAAGAGCATTGTATGTATATTATAAACTGCATAGATCTGAGTCAAGTTGTTCGCTCTCTTTGCCTAATCTCAGTTAGATTTTTTTATCTGGTGTGCATGTTACTAGTTTTTCTTTTTTGACATTATTGCTGTTCGCCGTTTCTGTAATATAACAAATATATACCGGCTGAAGTCAGTTTTCCTTCATTTCCTCATATTATTTTCATTCTGTCAGCATATGATTTGTCATCTCTTTTTTCACACATCTCTGAGTCCATCATCTCCTATTCACACATCTCTGAGTATCCT